ACAAAAAAGGTCTTTAAAAAGTACAAATGCACAATAGTTAAAACTTACTTTTTGGTTCACAGGAAATCTTTATTAAAACAAATCTTTCTAAACTTTAAGTACAGAAATAAAAAGCATTGCTAAAAATGTTCTTTTGGCACTTAAAATAAGTGTTAACAGTCTTTATACACCTGCTCCTTATAAATATTTCAGAAAATAGACTGTAAAAGTACAGTGCCATTTGAGTTACTTATTTTAATATTCAACTATAAAAGGTTCTGCTTAATAATTAGCTTTAAAGTCTGCCTAATCTCTGAACTCTCTACACACTGCCTAAAAAAAGAAAAAAATGAAAGAAAAAACAGAGAACCTTAAGAAAGAAAAATAATTGACCAAAAGTCAGATTGGAAAGTAAAGGCCTCACTCCCACATAGCCAACATAAACTAGAGATAGAATCATGTATCCGAGTTAGAAGAAGTTTCAAAAGTTCAAATGTTTCCTCTTAGCCTCAGGAAACTACTGTATCTATTTTTATAGATATAAGCAAATAAGATCCACAGAGATTAAGTGACTTGCCCAAGGTCACACAGCTAAATAATAATGGAGAAACCAGAATCCAGGTCTTCTGCATCTTAATGCAAAACTTCACTAATTTGTGCTGTTTCTATAGTTTCCATGTTAAGTTCAAGGTGAATTTATTAAATAAAGAAATCATATTTCAGATTTTGTGATATTTACCCTCATTGTCTTTTATCTTTTTAACCAATGCTGTAAATTCTGATAGCACTAAAGCAGAAATAACTTAGAACATAATGATTTTTAGTTTTAACATGTATCATGAAAACTAGTATAAACTATTATTAATACTTACACCTCAGAATAATATCCTCAAGTGATATGCTGTTTGTCATAGTCCACAAGTATTAACAATAAAGAAAGATAAGGTCTATTAATAAACATTTACATATCTTGTTACAAATAACATGAGATTTTTTGTTTAATGGATTGCCTTTGCCTTCTTATTTAAAAGAGAATGAGATGTGTTCCTGTTAGTAGGACCTCTCTTCATCCTCCATGCTATTCCAAAGTAAAGAGACAGATAATTTTGTGTCTTCTAAAGAGTTGGACTGAGAGAATGTAGGGAATAAGGGCAGGGAGTTAATTTAGGGAGTGAAGCAGGGCTACAGGATTCACTGTTAGAACTTTCTCTCACAGGAATGTCGAAACATGAAGAAACATTTCATAAGTAAATTAGCCTTTACCTATGTTACCAGCTCTGGCATTTCCTAGAAGTGCAATTAGAAAGCAATCCTGACCTCTAATTGTAAGACCTATGCAGTACTTTGTCACAACTTACATTGTGGAACCATCTGGCATGCTCTCAATTATTGACAACATAGGTATGAATTATACCCCAAACAGTAATAGAATAAAAATAAAGAATAGGAATGGGAAAATGTCTGAATTACATTTTTTTTTTACCTTACTTTGAATTCCTTCCCCCAAGACTTACAATCAATCAATTAATCAGTGAATAAAGGATGTAGCAGAGAAACACAGTGAAATAATAATACCTGACAGCCTCTCTTTTCAATTTCCATAATACATTTCTGTATCAGGAGTGGCACCATCAATCCTGTATTTTCTTTCTCCACAACTCTTCGAATATCAACTCCAAATATTACTGGTTCTCGATTTATATCTAGCCCATGAAGAGAATTCTCCCACTGTTCCATAAGAGTCACTTTCACATAAATAAGACCTCTAGGTTCAAGTTTGACAGCCAATTGATGTGTCTTTGTCACTCTGAATAATGTGGGGAGAACAACAGTTCCATGACAACAAACTCTATTTTTTCTTGGCGTGGGTTCCCAACTAAATACTACTAGTTTCAAATGTTGTGCATTTTCAATTTCTATGTTGAAAGTGTGATCCATGTCTAAAAATGTTGTCCGACACGTAAGCAAAGCTGTTCTTGCTTTGTTTACTGAATCTACCTGAATTGCACAAAAGACATCTTTTGAATCTATGCGGGGTGGTTTTAAATCCTCAGCACCATAGAAATGCACACTCATGAGCCCAGATATATACTGTGAACACTTAGGTTGATCAGAAAAGCTGTAATGTCTAAAAGCGTCAATATCTATTTCATTCTTGCTACAACTATTAGAAATTATTTCTTTTCCTTTTCCAAATTTGTTTTCAGATCCATGTTTGCCAGATTTAGCGATAAGTTCGGGTGAGTCTCCATCACTGAGGTAACCTCCTTTGCTGGAATACTTAGAACTCACAGAGGTTTTCTTCTGGTAGCTGTGCTGAGAAGATACACTGGTATCAAGATGGTACCGGCTTATAACATTCCTCCTAGCAGCTGTGGTTGTGTTCTCAGAAGGTAGAATAACAGCATGATGAATTTCTTGATAGTTACATTTAGACAAAGAAGGAGTATTATCCGGACTGTTCATGTAATTCAGGGTCCCCTTAACACTCAGTTTTCGGCTAAATTCTGGCAATCTTTTCATTTTCATGGAAAGTTTCCTCACAGTTCGTGGAGATTTTATTTTATCTGGCAAAGACCAATTAATTGAACTGCCTTTTTTCACAGGGCTAGAGTTTGGAGAAGATGGTTCTATAACTCCCAATTCAGTCCTACTTATAGCAGCCAGGATCCCAGGACCTATAAAAAATAAGAAAAAAAAGATATTATAAAGTGAAATGTTTTGATTTCTACTTTTATTCCTATTTTATAAACCATCAACTAAATAAGCTCTCACATGGACAGAAATATTCCCTTGTTTCATCTCAATGGGGAGATTTAGTTAGATGTTCAGGTCAAACTCCATGACTGTGTTCAAGGAGAATACTATATTATCCCAGTTATGTAAAATTTAAATTTATTTTTTATACTTCATCTAACTATTCCTTATAGAGGAAGATCTAATAACCATCATAGCAGAAACTAATCTATGTAACATGGCATTTCACAAGTAAAATGAGAAAAAGTATTCATTTAAAAAAATCTAGAGATGAAATAACCTTTCTTTAAAGTATTAATATTCTCCCTCCATCCCTCTCGATGTGTCCCAATAACAAAGAAGCAGTTTCTTTATAGAGAGAGGACTATTTTAAGTATGCTTATTGGGCTTTTCTGGTAAGCAGCTAATACAAAATAGAGTGTTTAATAAAATGGACAAAGCATCCCCTTGTACTGCTAATCATAGTACAATTCCACTGGCTTGATAAACATCGTATGGTAATCGGGGTACTGTTTAGTCTACAACCATTAAGCTATTTTTCCCTAGCCTAGAAAAGCTCTCCTATATATTAAATGGCTCTAGATTTTAGGAAATTATTGAGTTTAACATTCTGACTCTGTTTATACATTGTCAGTAAATAATTCCTACTGAAGCCCTTAACTAATTATTAAAATGAAATACTGTACATAATAGCAACTTCTACTGCAGACAAGAATGAATTTATTAAAACAAAAATGCTTTGTTTTTATAAAATCCAAGAGCTTAAATATTACCAAATTCCAGAATCACTTAAAATTAAACTACAACTATACTAATCAAATCATATATTAGCTTTAAGAAGAAAGCACAAAATGAAAATCTTTAAATAACAATTTATGAACTAGGCTCAAGTCAAGTGAAACTGGCATGCTCCTTCACCACCTAGAACAGTAACTGACAGATAGCAGGAATTCAATATTTAGTAAATAAATGAATTAATCAACCAACCAACTGTAAATTGGTAAACCTTTTAGGAACTACAATATAGGAACTCCCAATAATAGTTACCAGCCATAAAGACCAAATAATGATACTAGTAATTGTGCCTAATGAAACAAAAAATAACATGATGAAGATGACTGCAATAGCACTGGAAACAATCTATTAACACCCAACATTAGGGAAACAGGTCAAATAGATTAGGGCACATCAGCCCAATTAAATATTATACTATAAAGCTTGAAAAAACAATCATGTTAATCTACATGTAACAATGAAAGATGAAGATACCAAATAAAACTAGCAAAAAAATCCACTAACGATTGCAACTAGATAAAAGATACATATACATTGAGAAGTTAATAAGCAAAACACAAGGCATAATTGTGTTAGTATGATTTTTAAAATTTTTGTTCACATTCAATATACTTATAAATTAGCCTTCTGATTCTCTAATCAAAAAATTATTTTGAAATTCAATCATTCTTTTTGCCAACTTCTCAACAACTTTCTGCCAATATTGCCAAGAAAAACATATTGCTTTAGGTAAACTTTCCTATCAATATAAAACAAAAAAAGATGGCATATAAATAAACTGTCTAAATATTTCCTTTGGTCAGTTTAGGATTGTGCTTATTATATTTTAATTACATGTTTTGGAGAAGAATGACAGTAAGAAAGGAAACATAAATGGCATCCATACCACACTTTTAAGTTTTGTTTTTTTTTTAAATGTCTGTCTTTCCAGGTTTATAATTTGCTACAAACATAAAAAAGTAAGTTTAAGGACAGTAACTTAAAATATGTGTCATTTAACAGACACCGGCTTTCTAACTTTGCTCTTATCCTCATATACCCTCCTGCCTTCTCCGCACCATTCCACACCCACCACTGCGTGACACTACAGCCTTCCTTATCACTCTACCCACACCACAACCTGCATTCCAAAGTATTATTTTATATAGTATTTCTTTTTCTCTCCATCTAGATTACAAAAGAAACACACATTTACTCTGGAGAATTAGTCTACAATTAGAAATGCACAAAGAAAAAAATTTTAATTACTTTCAATTCCAACACCTGGGGAAAAAAACAAAAACGAAAACATATAAACAAAAAAACACTTAAATTTCCATTATAGCTTTCAGCATTTCTTTCTAAATTGCCATCATATAGTACACACTGTTTTGGAACTCGTTCTCTTAATATAACATTTACTCCACCTCCTCATGTCCCTGAGAAAAGGTTTCAAATGTAAGTAGTTTATTTGCAAAGTACAGAAACACCAGTGAGAAAGTGAGAAAATTCAGGGGGAAATTCAAGGTGAATTATCAAGCCTGCTACCACCTATGGGCAACTGGAGCTTAACCTCATGAGAAAACTCTGGGAAACAATGTAAAATATGGATTCAGAATTATCCCTCCCAAGGAGTGAGGGAGTTGGAGTAGTCCGTTATATACCAGCTCTTCTCAACCACTAGTTGTAAGGTACTCCCAGGCTGCCCTGCACAGAGATTCCCTAAGACTTCAGCATCCTCAAGTACAGATGCAGATACTGGTGGCTGGAAACAGGCTTCCCCCATTTAAATAGTAAGTAAAGTAATAAAACCCAAGGGATATGGGGCAAGGCACTGACAGCATCTGCTATGCCCCACATCTTTAAATATTCTGCATTATTTGAACTTGTATAAATTAAAATGATGTAAGTCAGAATTGCTTCCTATTCTACATTTGATATTTGCAACCAAATGTGCCCTATGCTCCATTTCCCTGGTAGTGTATCTGAGACTAAAGGAAACACATCAAAAAATTGAAGGCAATCAAGGAAGAATAAAACCATTAAGTTGAATTATATGAAATGCTTTCTTTTGCAGATCAAAAACTTTTGAATATCAGCAATTTCACATAGTTCAACTTCAATTATTTCCTTTTTCAGTTCCGTAACTATAATAGCCCCTGTCTGCAAAGTCTTTACTTCTACTTTTCATTTCTTTTTCTCTTCTCCCTTTCCTTAGCTCATAAGGAAATTTAGGCATAAAAACATAAACTAATAATCACTGGTACACTGAAAATACAACATTCCAGCTGAGGCTAGGCCAGGTGTGAACGAATGAATGAATGAATGAATGAAGCAAAATAAGATTTACATAAAGACAATATCTTTCTCTTCTACTCCCCATGATTCTATTCTTTCAACTAAGAGAAAAGCAATTACTGTCTCAAAGGATCAACATACTAAAGCATACCAGATTATAAAATTAAATCTGTGATAGGAATAATTAAACCAGCATGTATACAAAAATGTTTATAAACCTTTGTGAGTTTTCTTTACTTTCATGAAAATATATTCATTTTGTAAGAAAAAGTACATAAACATAATAGACTTCTTCTATAGTTTTAGCTATCAAAGAATTGAAAAATGAAATAAAAAAGAAAAGGCAAATATATAACCATTTTTACCTGCAAAAGGAGATTTCAACATGGGACTGTCCTCCACCATCACAGCTTCTTGTGTCTTGGGTCCTATCCTTTGCTTGTACTGCTGCACAAATTCTGTGGAATGGATGGAATCTATAGGATTCATTACACTTGAATGCATGGCTTGAATATCACCTGCGTATTCAGAAGAGCACAGCAAGTCTTCAGTATGCTGCTCTGCTTTCGTCAGGTCACTACCAGACAGCATGCTCAAACTGACAGCAGGAAGCTTCAGAACAGCAGAGTTTACCTCATCAAAACTCAAGGCACTCGATAAACCAAGGTCATCATCCTCAGGAATTGGGTTGTACCATATTTCTCCTTCATCATCTGCATCATTTTCCTCATTAAAGTCTAAAGAACAGTTTCTTGATAATGAAGAGTTTGTTGCATTACACACCATATATGTACAGTATTCTTCAGACGATTTGAGGAAAGGTTGTGATAGCTGATGTTTAGGTAGAGACACAGGTGAGATGGATAACTGGCTTCTATCTTGGCATTTCTTATTTTCTTCTTCCAGATTAAGAGATCTCAGAGTACTCTGGTACAGCCAATTGCGTTTCTTTGAAACAGTGATGCTGTTAAGTGGCTTATGACCTCTGAATTCAATATTATCCTTCAGATCTTCAAGTTCTCTTCTCTTCATTGAGGACCCATAGACATTTTCAAATAAATCTGTTTCAAAGAAGAACAGAAGGTACAATATAAAGCCTGGCATATCAGGAAAGACATGTCACTTCAGACCAGTTATTAAAATCTTTAAAAAGAAGAAAAAGAAAGAGAAGTATTATTAATTACATTCAGAGAGTAAAATTGAACTAGAAAAAATTTGAATTTTCTATCTAAATATGGTCTCTATGATTTAGAAATCAGACTGCTAGTATAAGTGTCAAAGAATTCTAAAAGAAAAACTCTGAGATTGTCTTTATAAAAACTATACTGCTGGCCGGGCGCGGTGGCTCACGCCTGTAATCCTAGCACTCTGGGAGGCCGAGGCGGGCAGATCCTTTGAGCTCAGGAGTTCGAGACCAGCCTGAGCAAGAG